TTCCTATTTGTAGTGCCTCTACATTCCTAGACCAAAATTCCCATGCAGACAGGGCCTCCATTTTGTTCATTGCTACATCCTGTTTCTAGATCAGTGCTCAGCATATAACATATCCTAAATAAATTATTCGTTAAATAAATGAGTGAAGAGATTATTTTTTCACGGGTCTCTTCTCAACTAAAGTTATTTTTAAGGGTACAACTGCTATGTATAACTACATCAACAAAAGTGATGGTGTTGGAAGGTGAGGGGTTAGGAGTTAACCTGGAGCAGTAACTAGGACAGATGCTTTGAGGCAAATAGTAGTATTACATTTTCCCAGAGAGGAGGCAGGAATGCTTGCCTCCCAAATAGGGAAATATGATCTTGGGCTGTAAGATCCTAGAAGACAAACTATGACCCATTGTCTTATAACACTAACTTTACTCAATGGTATGTAAGTTAAGTATTTTCATGTATTATAAAATAGAAACGAATAAATTTTCAGGATAAAACAATGTTTTTTTGGTTTGTTTTTGTTTTGTTTTTTTAACTTCGCAATAAACACTGAGTTTTAGATTGATCCTTTTTTTTCTTTTAATCTTTTTTTTATTGATTAAGTGATTACATATGTGTCCTTATCCCCACATTACTTCTCATCCCACCCACTCATGCCCTCACCCCCCCTGTTGTCTGTGTCCATTGGTTTTGAAGACATTTCATTTCCCCTTGAGGCTTTTCTGGGCCCTCCCTGGATGAAGGTGTTCTCTCTCCTCTGGCATTAGTGACTTTAGTAGAAACTTGGAAAAGTACTGACACAGAGGAAATGCCTGGGTTTAGGAGTAGAAAGGCATTTATATCAAGCTGCTAATTCTGTGACCTTAGGAAAAAATGTAATCATTCTGAACCCAATATTCTCATTTGTAAATGGAGAAAATATCTATCTTGAAGGAGTCTTGTGAAGAATAAGTTGATGCATAGAGAGTACAAGACACTGAGAAGTTATGTAACTTGCCCAAGACCACATAAAAGTAAATGTACAACTAGATTATGAACCCATGTCAGTCCTTCTCAAAACCCTAGGCTGTTATAGATAGCTACTAAGAGTAAGTCTGGAATCATCTTATTTTTTTTTTAGATTAGAAGTTCAAAGATAATTAAATAGAGAAAGCTAAATATTCTATTGGGTTATTTTTAACTCTGGTATTAAATATTACATCGCTTAAATTAATTTTATATCACTCCATATTTTTATAATCACATCACATTTCTTTTCCAGTGGAAGAATGACATGTGAAATTGGACATGGCCATTATTCATCCCAGATTTTCAGGGACAGTCTTTATTTCAAAATTCCACATGAATGAAATGCTCTGAAAAAGTCAGTATTTCAGTGCATCAGAAGCAGTACAAAATACTGTATTCAGGAAAAATGGTCTCCAGAGGTGCTGGTTGATACATAGGATCACACTGTACCTGGTGTGGGTATACTACTGGAGATCACAGGATAAAAACCTTATAGAAACATTGGAACATTGGATTGAAAGGACCTGATTTTGATCTAGCAAATCCTGTGATAGTTAATTACTGGAAATCTGTATTTTATTTTACTTATTTTTAATTGATTTCAGGGAGAGGTAGAGAGAGAGAGAGATATCAATGATGAGAATCATTGATTGGCTGCCTTCTGTACTGGGGATTGAGCTTTGACTGGGCCTGTGATCTGACCTGGAATCAAACCGAGATCTTCTGGTTCATGGGTCTATACTCAACCACCGTGCAACACTGGCCAGGCAGAAAACTGTATTTTAAGCACGTTAACAAGCTCTATGGGTGATTCACATGCACAATGAGCTTGGGAATGCCTGACTTAGGACATGATCCCTTTTAAAAAGAGTACCACGAATTAAGGGTAGTCACTATGTGTTTTCTATTAGAAACCTTTGTAACCAATTGCAGTTGGAAAAACACCACATAGAGGAAGTTGTAGAAAGAAATGATCTAGTGATGCAAGCCCTCTTGTGAGCATCCTTCTGTGAACAGTGGCAGTACCTGTTCAGCAAAATGCTCACTTCCCAAATGGAGCAGAACATTTTCTGTCTCACATCCTGACCAGTTGGTGTTTTTATTAAACCAGATGACTTTGCAAGTAGGATTGAGTCAAGACATGCACTGCTTCTATGGCACTCAGATTAGTAGAAAGCACCCTGAGATGGAAACCACCAGGCACTGCTGGCAGCAGCTCTCTCCTGGGAATTATAACCAGACTTTCTGAGGTCATCTGCTGGTAGGACCCACTTGACCCAGAGTAATCAAGGCTACTACTAACATGATTTCATTAGGACCTCCTACTCAAAACACTCTTTTTATTCTCAAGGTATATTTCAACTGAAGAAACATCTTACTTGGGGTCATAAGCTATATATAAACTACATGTATTTTTTAAAATATGTTTTTAACATAGAAAACCCTAAAGACTCCATCAAAAAACTACTAGATTTAATACATGAATTCAGCAATGTAGCAGGATACAAAATTAACATCCAGAAATCTATGGCTTTTTTTTTTACACCAATAATGAACTCACAGAAAAAGAAACAAACAAACAAACAAAAAAACAAACAATCCCACTTACCATTGCACCAAAAAAATTAAGATACCTAGGAATAACCTTAACTAAGGAGGTAAAAGACTTGTACTTGGAAAACTATAGGTCATTGAAAAAAGAGCTAGAGGAAGAGATAAACAAATGGAAGAATCTACTGTGTTTATGTATTGGTAGAAGCAACATCATTAAAATGTCCATACTACCCAAAGCAATCTACAAATTTAATGTAATCCCCATTAAAATACCAATGGCATATTTCACAGACCTAGAACAAACTCTCTAAAAATTCATATGGAATAAAAAAAGACCCCGTATAGCCACAGCAATCTTGAGAAAGAAGAACAAAGTTGGAGGGATCATAATACCAGATATAAAGCTATATTACAAAGCCACTTTTCTGAAAACTGCCTGGTACTGGCACAAGAACAGGCATATAGACCAATGGAACAGAACAGAGAACCCAGAAATCGACCCGAGCCATTATACTAAATTAATATTTGACAAAGGAGGCAAGATCATACAATGGAGTCAAGACAGTCTCTTCAATAAATGATATTGAGAAAATTGGACAGACACATGCAAAAAAATAAAACTAGACTACCAACTTACACCATACACAAAAATAAACTCAAAATGGATAAATGACTTAAATGTAAGACAGGAAATCATAAAAATCTTAGAAGAATCCATAGGCAGCAAAATATCAGACCTATGTCGTAGCAATATCTTTACTGATACAGTTACTAGGACAATGAAAACTAAGGAGAAAATAAATAAATGGGACTACATCAAAATAAAAAGCTTGTGCACAGCAAAAGAAACCAATAAAACAACAAGAAAGCCCACTGCATGGGAGAACTTATTTGCCAATGTTATATCCGATAAGGGCCTAATCTCCAAAATTTATAGGGAACTCATACATCTTAATAAAAGGAAGATAAACAATCCAACCAAAAATGGGCAAAGGACTTAAATAGACATTTTCTAAAGTTGACATACAGAAGGCCAAGAGACATATGAAAACATGCTCAAAGTCACTAATCATCCAAGAGATGCAAATCAAAACGAAAATAAGATACCATCTCACACCTGTCAGAATGGCTATCATCAAGTGCTGGCAAGGATGTGGAGAAAAAGGAACCCTCGTGCACTGCTGGTGGGAATGCAGACTGGTGCAGCCACTGTGGAAAACTGTGGCGTTTCCTCAAAAAATTAAAAATGGAACTTCCATTTGACCCAGTAATCCCACTAGGAATATATCCCAAGAAACACCAATCAGAAAGGATATATGTACACCTATGTTCATAGCAGCACAATTTACAATATACAATAGCTAAGATTTGAAACAGCCTAAGTGCCCATCAGCAGATGAGTGGATTAAAAAGCTGTGGTACATCTACACAATGAAATACTACGCTGCTGTAAAAAAGAAGGAATTCTTACCATTTGTAACAGCATGGATGGACCTGGAGAGTGTTATACTAAGCGAAATAAGTCAGTCAGAGAAAGATAAATATCACATGATCTCACTCATTAGTGGAATATAGTGAACAACATAAACTGATGATCCAGAGACAGAGAAGCATCAAACAAACTCAAACTTCAAAGGGAAGACAGGGGAGGGAGGGGGTTGGGGAGACAGAGATCAACCAAAGGACTTGTATGCATGCATATAAGCATAAACAATGGACACAGACACTAGGAGGGTGAGGATATGTGCAGGGGAGGGGGGGTGGCCAGGGAGAGGTCAATGTGGGAAAAAGGAGACATGTGTAATACTATATGTAATACTTTAAACAATAAAGAATTTAAAAAATAAAATATTTTTTTAAAGTTTCTAGTATTAGTATCCACCAGAAAGAGTAAGTAGAATGGACTTAAATGAGAAATGATTAAATGAGTAGAAAACTTTAAATATTTTGTAAATAAGCAATAAGTGAATATTGATTGGGCTAGGTAAAGATTTATTAAAAATTCTCAAATGTGAACGCAGAAGGTAATGCATCCTAGGATGTGAGTTGGCCATGAGCTTGAAGTCTACGTTTTGATATAGTTATATAGATTCCAGGAAAAATGAGCTCTAAATTAGTAAAATAAATTGTGAAGTATAAAATCCTGGGCAATCCCACACATCTTGCTGAAAATGTTTAATATGCTTCTAGTTATAATAGCTGAAAAATCTCCTTAGAGTCAGATTGGGGAACTACCTAGTGAATATGCATCACTGAAACCCGTTCCCTCCTCCCTCCTCCCTTCTCCCTCTTCCCTCTTCCCTCCTCCCTCCTCCATCCTAGAAGTTCCTTATTAATAGCTCCATGCTCTAAGAGCCCACATGAAACATTATTTTCCTCATGGATTACTTTGTACATTAGTGTAAAAATTCATTTTCTAGCAGATGGAATGATATTCTTACCTGTTTCACAGCTGGGCCCAGTGAAGCCTTGTGGGCAGGCACACACATTAGCAGCAATACAAGCTCCTCCATTCCTACAGCCATCTTTGCAAAATGCTAAAATAATTCAGATACATGACGTTAGCACTTTAGAAGGAAGTAGTTCAAGATGCTCTAAATCCAGCTTTTCTTTATTTCCTTAGAGATGTGGATATCAAATTATAAATGCTATTCTAATTTCAGATTCACACAATACTTTCCAAACAGCGCCATTTCTAAAACAATCTTCTTTCCAATGTTAAGAAAGAAATTTCATCTGTAAAATAAAATACTGGACGTTCTGTTTAAAAAAAAACACCAAAAACCAGTAACCTTACACAACAGCAAATAAATTAGAATTAGGATTTCACATCATTATAATAATCCAGCTTGAAATCAAACCTAAAATATGACAGCTATCCTCTGTAGTTTTCTTAAGGAGCAAACCACTGTCTAGAGAAAACAATAAGAAAATAGGAAATGACTAAATCCTATGAGGCTCTGATCATTCCACAGACTGGCCAAAGTGCCAAAATATTACAGCAGCGGTTCTCAACCTGTGGGTCGCGACCCCTTTGGGGGTCAAACGACCCTTTCACAGGGGTCGCCTAAGACCATCGGAAAACACATATATAATTACATACTGTTTTTGTGATTAATCACTATGCTTTAATTATGTTCAATTTGTAACAATGAAAAAACATCCTGCATATCAGATATTTACATTATGATTCATAACAGTAGCAAAATTACAGTTATGAAGTAGCAACGAAAATAATTTTATGGTTGGGGGTCACTACAACATGAGGAACTGTATTAAAGGGTCGCGGCATTAGGAAGGTTGGGAACCACTGTATTAGAGAGATGCCCCAGCTTTCAAAAAGGTTTAAATCAGTCTTGGTGATGGATTAGCCAAGAGTAAGAAGACTTTGCTGTAGTGGTCTTCAGAAACAGTCTTGCATCCCCATGCTAAGGATAGGTCAGGCTCCAGGACCACGGGCAAAGACACTGCAGAGCCTGTTGTCTTAGAGTGGATTTGCAAGTGAGTATAAAAAAATAGTCAAGGTCTGTGCCATTGTAAAGGTGATCTTTGGAGATGTGCTTCCTTCAAAGAAGGAGAGAAAAACAAGATGTATGAGACTGAGCCCCCTGCCACTTTAGCAAGTTCTTTGGCTCTGTGAGGCTCAGGGGCTGCTCCCTCAGCCTGGCAAGATCTGTGACAGATGAACTAGACCAGCTTGTTACATTCACAGGGTCTTTTCCACACTGCTCTAAATCAAGCATGTCAAACTCAGGGCCTGCGGGCCGCATGCAGCCCACAACAAATACTTTTGCGGCCCAGCCAATGTAACGGTATGTAAGAAACGTTTTAATAAAATGTTTGTAACTTAATTTTTACAATATCCTGTTATATACATAATTATTAATAACAAACTACAACATTCGCTAATGACTGATTACTATCATCCTGTTACATTCATTTCCCTTATGCACCTTACACACAGGCGCATGGTTTCTCTCCACTAATACTAGCAACGGATATTTTAGCAGCCGATTGCCACGTCATTAGTCTTGTACTGACTTGTTTGGTGTGTGAAACAGGAAATATTTTGCTTTTGGAGAACAAGAAAAATAGGTTTATTTGCGTTACGCTTATTAATTTGTGCACTTATCCATTGTCTGGTAAGTTAGTGTTCAAGAAAAAATGTTAATTTTTATTAAAATGCTCTATTATTTTATGTTAAGGATTACTCATTTATTTCAGCCCTTCATATTCAGCATGTCTCTATCGAAGTAAACCTAGGTTTCTATGAAAATTGAAGCTTTTGTTTTTTGGGGGCCCACAGAAACTTGAACTTTGTTTATTTGGCCCGTGTTAGCCTTTGAGTTTGACATGCTTGCTCTAAATCAAAGATTTCCATAGACTTTCACAAACCAGAGTAATGCTCTGGTCCATCCATATTTGCATCCTATGTATTATTGTAGATCAGGTCTTAAGACCCATGCTCACAGGCCACTGCATTAACAGCCACACTTTGTTACTTCCTACACACACACACACACACACACACACACACACAGTGTTGTAGCAAATTAATTTTAATAAACTCCAGGATGATGGACACACTGCATTTAAAAAATGGGCAGTTTGAAGCTTAAAATGCCTAAATTAGACAAGTCAAAAATAAATCTATATGACATAATAATGAATATGGACTTTATCCTATGGGAGTTGGCGGAGGTTCCAAAATAGAACCTTTATTTCCCTAATGAAGTAGGCGGTAAGCTCATCTGATAAAGGTACAGAGGGCATTGGTGAAAGAGTGAATTGCCATTTGGTGGTGAACTGTAGCTGGAATAGCCACTGATGGAAATGAAAATCTGAGCCCAACAGGACATTTAAAAGAATTACTGATTGGTATTGACAAAGGAGCTAAAATGGGAAACTATAAAATGTAGAGATCTAAAATTCCCAATTAATTACTTTCAACAGCTCAAGAGATTAGGCAGAGAAGAAAACCAGTGAGACTGGCTCAAAATACAGATATTTCACAGTTGAACACGATGCTGCCAAAAAAAAAAAAGAAGAAGGAAAAAAAAAAGATGGTCATGTTTGGACTAAAAAAAAAAAAAATTCTTAACCTAGAAGGAGACTGGTAAATAGAATGAAAATGGAGGGTCAGAAAAATTGAAGTTCAAGAGTTGTAGGCAAACTGGAAGTAGAGGGACTTGGGTTCAGACAACAAAATGTCCTGATCTGCTAGAGGAATAGAGATGCAAATCACTGTGGTTGAGGTCAAGGAACATTAAGTCAAAGTTGTTGAACCATTTGGCCAATTAACTACTGATGTAACCAGGAGGAAGACTATGAGCCACACTGCGAAGTTCTCAATGTGTGTGGATAGTGCACAGGAGGCAGATAACAGTGATGAGAAGGGGTGGAGGGAGGTAAGGATGGCTTACATTATGCCTAAAGGAAGAGGTGTTGGCATTGAAACTTTTACCTTTGCACGTGGTTCCATTCCCCGTATAGCCTGGTTTGCAAACACAGTTGTGTCCTCCAACAGTATTGAAGCACAGAGCATTTTCATCACAGTTGTGCTGATTTGTGACACACTCATCATGTTCTGAAATGAGGAATACAATCTGGTTACTCAGAGGTACATTTTCAAACTGTACCTGCATCTTGGTTACTATATAGTATCTTTTCCAAACACAGGTATACACAAATTACGTATTAAGGAATAGCATATAGCATAAAGTACTGTATACTCCTCTTCAAGTACCTATGTAGTTCACACATCCACAAACCTTGATTGCAAAAGGATTTGGACAAAAGGCCCATGGATGGAAGGAATAGAGAGAGAGAATAAGGAAGGGTGGGTATCAATTCTCAGAAGGAGATCCCAAAGCTAGCTCTGTACGGTCTCTGTGGTTAATATTTCGGGAGTTATTCTCATTAAACACATCTGCCACCTAAGTCTTTCCTGTAGCATGAGAAGGGTGACAGGAAAGAATGTGAAATTGCATTGCTTTGTGAATTGTGACCTCCAGGATAATGGAGTTGAAGCTTTGGGAGTGAGGTGCGGTTAACACCCACATCCACACTTGCAGGCACAAAGATGCAAATGCAAACTGCAAGGGAAATATCTGACCTTCCGAGTAAGTTCCCTCCTCCTGCAAAGATAGTACCAGACTTCTGTTACCTAAGGCAAACTTGTCTTTATAATACGAACAAATATAAACTTTAAAATATACAATCAACATGGTACTCCCTTTAACTGTGTGTTGCTTGACATTTTTGTAAGCAAGAAAGCATTTGATCCTCCAGGACCCCTGGAAGGGAGTCAGGACCAACACCATTTTCACCATTTTAAAGATGAGTCGGTGGTGGCTCAGCATGCTTAAGTAGCCTGCCCCAGTTCACAGGAATATTGTAACTTCAGAACTGTAGCTCAGTGTTCAGCAAAAATGTGAATGTAAGGAATAAGTACAGGGAATACGAGAAAGAAAACAGATCTAACATCAAAATCAAGACTAGTAGAAATAAAATATAAGTGAAAAATGCACACAAATTAGTTCAGTCATCCAAAATCCTTATTTATTACTCGGTCTCTTATATAAATATTATTTTTAAAATAATATTTAAAAACTAAAATTAAATATATATTTTAATATGCTTACATAGGACAAGCTATTAATTCACTATGATGTAAACCAGAGATTTTCAACCTTTTTCATCTCATGGCACACATAAACTAATTATTGTAATTCTGATGCACAACAAAAATACATTGTATTTTTTGCCAACCTGATAAAAAATGGTATCATTTTGATTCATTCATAATGGATGGCTATTGTCATGTTGGCTGTTGTCATTTTTCCATTTAACAATTTAAGGAAAAAAAGGTAAGTGCCCCTGACTAAATAAGTATTGCATGTTTTAAAAATTCTTGCAGCACACTGGTGAAAATCACTAATGTAAACCATCAAAGCAAAAATAAATAATTACCTTTCATTTTAGAACTCTTTGTATTCTAGACAATATGTCGTAATAGTACTACACCTGGAACTTGGGAAAAAATTCTCTTGGCATTTACAGTTAAGATTAGACTTATTTCAACTAATAAAATAGAATTCTCTGTGTTTTGTTTTTTTAAAAAAGATTAATATTTCAAACTAATATGTCCTGTGTTCCATAAGCACAAAATTTTGACAATTTTAATGATAGCCCTGTAATAATCTTAGAGATTATTCCCAACAATTTTTCATAGGAAAGAGTGATTTCAATCAGTAAGGTTTTATAATTGCATGAACAGATATTTATTTTATTCTCAACATTTCTGGCTGAACTTTCCCAAATTGTATAAAGTTTCACTCTGATTATCTGGTATCAGAACATTTCATAGTTTTTATGAATCCACACATATTGATGACAGCTTAGAAAACAGCTGGATCACACACGGGTTTCCTAATTGGGGCTATGCTTGGACCACCATAAAATTTCCAGGCACCAGAACGGGCAGCCCCCCTACCTTGAGTTCAGCTGCCTAAAGCAAAATAAATCCATACCTGCTGCCAATTTGACCCCAGAGCACCTCAAAGTGCAGCACTGCATCTATAAGCCTCTATATGGACGGCCACAGGCCCTTTTAAGACAGCTGACGATCGATTAGATGCTGCCTTCATTCCTATCTCAGTTGTCTTATTAATTAGAAGGTACTCACTGAGTAGAAGTAGGGTCTAAAAAGATTCAGTTTAGTGATGAGTATGATAGTGTTCAATAAACATTAAATAATTACACAACCTGGGATTTGTTTTTTTCTGTTGTCACTGACTCTCAGAGTCACTGAAATGAATGAGTGTGCTCTTAAACAATTCAAGGATAAAAATAGTTTCCAAGTTTTGAAATACAATGGCACCTTGACATATATTGTTCCCTATGCCTGTTGTGCCTGCCCTATGATTCTCCTGGGAAATTCTTACCACTTTGAAAGACATCACTAAAATGTCATGTTTTATGTGACTTATTCTCCTTCTCCTGCAGAGTTAGGGGCTGCTGTCTGTTTTCCTGGCCCCATATACAAGGCTCTGTAATTATATTTTACTAGAGGCCCAGTGCACGGATTTGTGCACTGGTGGGGTCCCTCGGCATGGCCTGTGGGGATCGGCCAAATGCTGCCTGCCACTCCTGCTCATCCCTGCCCCACTGCGCCTGCCACTGCCACCTGGTATCGCTGTGTGTATGTGTGTGTATACACACACACACACACACACACACACACACACACACACTAGGGGCCCAGTGCACAAATTTGTGCATCTTGAAAAGAACTATGGGCCGCGAGGCTGCGATAGGCACAGGAGCAGGTCTCAGCCCATCCTCCACACCCTGACCTGGCCCCACCTGCCGCAGCCCCTGGTCCCCTGTCTGCCAGCATCCCTGCTTCTGTCACCACTACTTCCACATGCTGACGGCGCCAGCCCCACTGTCACCTGCTGCTGGCGCTGGCCCCAATTGCTCCGCATGGTCAGCAGGTGCAAGCAGTGGCTACTGCCCTGATTGCCCCTCAGGAGCAGGGGGAGGCAGAGAAGCCCTCAGGGGCAATCGGGGCCAGCAGCCACCACTTGCACCCACTGAGGGCGCAGAGCGATAGGGGCCAGTGCCAGGCGCCAGCAGCAGGTGTAAGCAGCAGCTCCGGCTCCAGCTGCGGGTGCTTGCAGGGCCGAAACCAGCAGTGGGTGCAAGTGCCAGGCAGGACCGTGGTGCACGGGAGCAACGAATTTTCAGTAACCACTAAAGGATTGCCCTGTTGACAGCAACCAGCGCCCACCTTGGTCTGGCACCCCCTGCTCACCTGTTCCACCATCCGGCCATGGCCAACTTCCACCACGTTCCACACTCTGCCCCTGCTGCCAATGCCTGCCATGTTCTGCACACACCCCCTGGTGGTCAGAGCATGTTATAGCAGCCGGTTGTTCCACCATTTGGTCTATTTGCATATTAGGGTTTTATATATATACTAGTGGCCTGGTGCACGAAATTCATGCATGGGGGGGGGTGTCCCTCAGCCCGGCCTGCACCCTCTCCAATCTGGGACCCCTCGGGGGATGTCTGACTGTCTCTGTGGGATCGGACCTAAACCAGCAGTCGGACATCCCTCTCGCAATCCGGGACTGCTGGCTCCTAACCGCTCACCTGCCTGCCTGCCTGATTTCCCCTAACTACTCTGCCTGCTTGCCTGCTTACCCTCAACTGCTCCCCTGCCAGCCTGCTCATCCCCAACTGCCCCCCCTGCTGGCCTGCTTGCCCCCACCTGCCCTCCCCACTGGCCTGCTCACCCAACTGCTCCCCCCCGCCAACCTGATCACCCCCAACTGACCCCCACTGATGGCCTGCTCACCCCCAACTGGCTCCCCATGCTGGCCTGCTCACCCCCAACTGACTGCTCCCCCATCAGCCTGATCACCCCCAACGGCCCTCCCCTCTTGGCCCCTAACTGCCTCTACCTCGGCCCTGTCACCATGGCTTTGTCCAGAAGAACGTCCAGAAGGTCTCCCAGTCTAATTAGCATATTACTCTTTTATTAGTATAGATTATTAGTATAGATAGAGGCCTGGTGCACGGGGCTAAGGCCTGGTGCACGGGGTATTTTCAGGCTGGCCACACCCCCTTCAGGGTGGGGGTCTCTGCTGGGGTGCCTGGCCAGCCTGGGTGAGGGGCTGAGGGCTGTTTTCAGGCCCCTCCCTCAGTGGCCGGCCGGGAGGACCCAAGCCTCCCGCACACTCAGGCTGGCTCTGTGGCCACTGCCCACAGGCCCCTCCTTCGGCCGGCCCAGGCTGATGGGAAGCTTGGCTTCCTCCATTGCCAGGGGTGACCCAAGCCTCCTGCCCGCTCAGGCTGGCTCCGTGGCTGCCGCCATCTTTGTCCTGCTAATTTGCATATTCCCTCCTGATTGGCTGTGGGGTGTTGCGAAGGTATGGTCAATTTACATATTTGTCTATTGTTAGTATAGATAGATATGTGTGTTTGTATATGTGAATATATATATGTAGATAGGTAGATGTCATATACACATTTAGATTCACCTAAATGCAAATGTTATATCCTATATAATAAAGAACTAATATGCCATAACGACCGATCAGCAGGAGGCTGCGTGTGCAGCGAGGTGTGCACGGGTGGCCGCATAAGGAGGTGGGAGGTGGGGCACCTCCTCGCAGCAGCGGGAGGTGGGAGGCGGGAGGCGGGAGGCAGGAGGCGGGGCGCCTCCTCGTGTGATTTCAATCACGCGCTAGGCCTCTAGTATAACAATAATACTTAACTAATCACTTAGTTTCAGTGATTAACTTCTAACCTGGGTGAGTTAATGTATGTAAAACCATTTTAAGACTCCACACCCAACATGTCATCAGTCATAAGAATATAAAGCCTGACCTAAATTGAGCTTTAAATTTGGTTTTAATATTGAGCTGTTTTCAGAATGAATGTACTATCTAGAGAAAAAATGGCCATTCTAAAATTTACATAGCTTTGCTCATTATGATTTCAACACAGACATACAATACACATAGCACATGTTCTGATCAAGAATTTCACTATGATTCAAAATGCAAATATTACAAA